CCCCCCCCCCTTTTTTTGTCCTGCTGTAGCCCCGCCCTGGGCACCGCCCCTGGGGGCGGGGACACTCCGGGGGAGGGGCCAAAGCCAGGCCACGCCCCCTCTGCCGTGGATTTTCCAGGTTCTGATTAAAAACTTTCCAGAAAGATCCGCGGGCTCCGAGTGGTGCTGGAGGGGGAACGGGGGTCGTGCTGCAGGGCCCAGTGCGGACCAGTACGGACCAGTATGGGGCAATGCAGACCAGTATGGACCAGTACGGACCAGTGCTCCCAGTACGGACCAGTGCAGAGCAGTACGGACCAGTGCAGACCAGTACAGACCAGTATGGGCCAGTGCAGACCAGTATGGACCAGTACGGACCAGTACGGGCCAGTGCAGACCAGTATGGACCAGTGCAGACCAGTATGGACCAGTGCAGACCAGTATGGGCCAGTGCAGACCAGTACGGACCAGTACGGGCCAGGGCTCCCAGTACGGACCAGTACAGACCAGTGCAGACCAGTATGGACCAGTATGGGCCAGTACGGGCCAGTGCTCCCAGTATGAACCAGTGCCCCCAGTACATACACCCAGTGCCCTCCCAGTGCCCCCGTGCTCCCAGTACACCTAGTGTCTCCAGTGTGCCCAGTACACCCCAGTGCCCCAGTATGAACCAGTGCCCCCAGTGCCCCCAGTACACCCCGTGCCCCCCAGTGCCCGCCGTGCCCCCGTGCCCCGCACTCGCAGCCCTCGGGGGGCTCGGGGCGCTCCCCGGGGGGCTCCCCCTGGCCCTGCAGGAGCCGCTCGAGGCCCGGGCGGCGCCGGGGGCCCAGCACGAAGCTCCGGACCTGCGCCGCCGTCTTGTTCCCCAGCACGGCCGCCACCGCCGGGAAATCGCGGCCGTAGCGGCGCAGGGCTGGGGACAGCGGGGACGGTGAGGGGGGACACGCCGCTAACGAGGCTCATTAGCCTAACGAGGCTCATTAGGCTAACGAGGGGGGCACTCACCCTGCACCACCAGCAGCTGCTCGTCCGTTGTCCAGCGGGAGCTGAACTTGCTGCTGCCCTGGGGGGAGCGGAGGTGATTTTGGGGGACTTGGGGACACAACCGGGACCTGCTGTGACACCCTGGGGACACCGTGGGGACACAGGGACATCCTGGGGACACCGTGGGGCACCCTGGGAACACCATGGGGCACACAGGGACACCGTGGGGACAGCGTGGGGCACATGGGGACACCCTGGGGACACCGTGGGGACACAGGGACATCCTGGGGACACTGTGGGGACACCGTGGGGACACCCCAGGGACACTGTGGGGACACTGTGGGGACACAGGGACATCATGGGGACACCGTGGGGACACCCCAGGGACACTGTGGGGACACTGGGGGGACACAGGGACATCCTGGGGACACCGTGGGGCACACGAGGACACCCCGGGGACACCCTGGGGACACCGTGGGGACATGGGGACATCCTGGGGACACCGTGGGGACAGCCTGGGGACACCCTGGGGACACCCTGGGGACACAGGGACCCACCTCAGGCGGCCGCAGCCCCTCCAGGCCCCCGTCCAGCGCCTGCCTGAGGCCGCTGTTGATCTGCTTGATGCGCTGCACCTGCGGCGATTGGGGAGGGGGCTCAGAGGGGTCACCCTTCGCCCTGGGGGTGTCCCCCGGGGGGGTGGGGGGCGGCGGCCGGGGGCTCACCTGCCGTTTGAGGGCCACCAGCTGGCAGTCGAGCTGGCGCAGGGCGCGCGCGCCCAGGTCGGGGTTGGCCGTGACCTCGGCCACGTCCTCGCGGCTCAGGCGCATCCCGCGGGGGGGGCGGCGCCGCTGCCGCGCCGGGGGGTGGTGCCGGTACTGCGGCTCCTTGCGCGGGCCCGCCTTGGGGAAGCACGCCTGACAGCGGCCCGGCGCGTTAATTAGTGCCCGGTCGTTAATTGGTTCGGTCGGCTTGAGTTGGTTAGGACATCCTGGGGACACCGTGGGGCACCCTGGGAACACCATGGGGCACACAGGGACACCGTGGGGACACAGGGACATCCTGGGGACACCGTGGGGCACCCTGGGAACACCATGGGGCACACAGGGACACCGTGGGGACACAGGGACATCCTGGGGACACCGTGGGGCACCCTGGGAACACCATGGGGCACACAGGGACACCGTGGGGACACAGGGACATCCTGGGGACACCGTGGGGCACCCTGGGAACACCATGGGGCACACAGGGACACCGTGGGGACACAGGGACATCCTGGGGACACCGTGGGGCACACGAGGACACCCCGGGGACACCCTGGGGACACCGTGGGGACACAGGGACATCCTGGGGACACTGTGGGGACACCGTGGGGACACCCCAGGGACACTGTGGGGACACTGTGGGGACACAGGGACATCATGGGGACACCGTGGGGACACCCCAGGGACACTGTGGGGACACTGGGGACACAGGGACATCCTGGGGACACCGTGGGGCACACGAGGACACCCCGGGGACACCCTGGGGACACCGTGGGGACATGGGGACATCCTGGGGACACCGTGGGGACAGCCTGGGGACACCCTGGGGACACCCTGGGGACACAGGGACCCACCTCAGGCGGCCGCAGCCCCTCCAGGCCCCCGTCCAGCGCCTGCCTGAGGCCGCTGTTGATCTGCTTGATGCGCTGCACCTGCGGCGATTGGGGAGGGGGCTCAGAGGGGTCACCCTTCGCCCTGGGGGTGTCCCCCGGGGGGGTGGGGGGCGGCGGCCGGGGGCTCACCTGCCGTTTGAGGGCCACCAGCTGGCAGTCGAGCTGGCGCAGGGCGCGCGCGCCCAGGTCGGGGTTGGCCGTGACCTCGGCCACGTCCTCGCGGCTCAGGCGCATCCCGCGGGGGGGGCGGCGCCGCTGCCGCGCCGGGGGGTGGTGCCGGTACTGCGGCTCCTTGCGCGGGCCCGCCTTGGGGAAGCACGCCTGACAGCGGCCCGGCGCGTTAATTAGTGCCCGGTCGTTAATTGGTTCGGTCGGCTTGAGTTGGTTATGGTTGGGGAAACCCCCTGAGCACCGCCATCCCCCCCCGCTGGGGAGGTTCAGGGGGGATCTGGGTACTCGGGGGCCCAGGGAGGGTTCTGGGGTCCCTGCCTGTCGTCGCGGTCGCGCCGGCCCAGCAGGCGCCGCGCCTGGCGGTCCATGACGCTCGTGCGGCTCCGCGTTTTCTTCCAGGAGTAATAATACTTCACCAGGCTGGGGATCAGCTTGTCCGGGAGCTGGGGGGGCACACAGGGGGTTTGGGGGGGGTTCGAGAGAGTTTTGGGGTGATTCGGTGTCAGGGATGGGGTGAGAGGTGAAGGGAGGGGTCACCCCTACGAATTGGGGGGAGAAGGTGAAGAGCCCTGAGATCCCCCACAAAAATAGGGGGAAAACCCCTAAAAATGGAAGAGCAGGAACCTCTAGAAATAGGAAGGGGAGGAATGACAGAGAAACCCTAAAGGGGGGAGTCAGGACCCCCAAAATCAGGGGGAACCCCCAGAAATGGGGGGGAGGTACCACCTGGTGGGTGGGAGGGGGACAGCAGAGGGTGGGACGTACCATCTCCTGTGGGGGGGTAAGGGGGTGGCACCCCCTCATTCCCAAGAGAGTCCTGAGACCCCCCAGACCCCCCAAACCTCCCTGGGGGTCCCAGGGGAGCAACAACACCTTCCAAAAACCCCAAAAACAGCCCAAAAAAGCCCCAAAAAGCCTCTGGCTGGGGCTGGATCCAACCACCCTGAGGGAGGGGGGGCTGATCCCCGGTGCTCTCCTTCTGTGGGGGGTGGGGGGGGGTTTTGGGGCAGTTTTGGGGGTCTCACCATCTGCTGGATGCGGGCGAAGCTCTTGCCGTGGAAGCTGAAGGCCTGCTCGAACAGAACCTTGTCCTCCACCGTCCACTCGTCCGGGAAGGGCGTGAAGTTGGCCAGGTCGGCCAAGGACTTCTCCACGTCGTGTTTGTGCCACAGCAGCATGCCCAGCGCCTGGGGAGGGGTCAGCAGGGCATTTAGGGGCACCCCGGGGGGGTCAGCAGGGCATTTAGGGGCACCCGGGGGGGGTCAGGAGGAAATCTGGGGGGCTTTGTGGGGAGGGGGAACTCGGTACCTGCTCGATGTTGTAGCCGTGCTTGTCCTTGGCCATGGCGATGTACCTGTCCACTGGGGGGGTTTGGGGGGGTCAGGTGGGGGGCTCGCAGGTGCGGGGGGGTTTTGTTGTTTTTTTTTTATTTTTTGGGGAGGGGGTCACTCACCGTGGGCGTGCTCGTCCTCGCTGGCCTCGTCCTCGGAGTGGGGGGGTCCCGCGGCGCCCCCCGCCTTGGCGCGGCTGCGGGACAGGATCCCCGAGGGCTTCTCCATCACCGACGGCATCGCCCGGGGGGGCGGCGGGGGGAGCCCCCCGGGGGTCCCACGCGGGGGAGGGGCTCGGCCCCGGCGCCCCCCGCCAAACTTTCCCCCGAGCGCGGGGCTTTTGGGGAGGGGGCGTGGGAATTCGGGGAGGGGGAGGAGGACGCGGGGCGGACCCGAGGGTCCCTCCCCCGGCAGCAGCGGCGCCCCCCGAGCGGGGCCGAAGCCGAGGGGCTCCAGGGGAGGGGTCCCCTCTGTGGGGCAGCTGTGGGAGTGGGGCCTGTCCTTGTGTGGGGCTGGGGTCTGTCCCCATAGGGGTCTGGGGTCTGTGTGGGTCTGGGGTCTGTCCCTCCGTGGGTCTGGGGTCTGTCCCCCTGTGGGGTTTGGGATCTGTCCCTCTGTGGGGCAGCTGTGGGAGTGGGGCCTGTCCTTGTGTGGGGCTGGGGTCTGTCCCCATAGGGGTCTGGGGTCTGTGTGGGTCTGGGGTCTGTCCCTCCGTGGGTCTGGGGTCTGTCCCCCTGTGGGGTTTGGGATCTGTCCCTCTGTGGGGCAGCTGTGGGAGTGGGGCCTGTCCTTGTGTGGGGCTGGGGTCTGTCCCCATAGGGGTCTGGGGTCTGTGTGGGTCTGGGGTCTGTCCCTCCGTGGGTCTGGGGTCTGTCCCCCTGTGGGGTTTGGGATCTGTCCCTCTGTGGGGCAGCTGTGGGAGTGGGGCCTGTCCTTGTGTGGGGCTGGGGTCTGTCCCCATAGGGGTCTGGGGTCTGTGTGGGTCTGGGGTCTGTCCCTCCGTGGGTCTGGGGTCTGTCCCCCTGTGGGGTTTGGGATCTGTCCCTCTGTGGGGCAGCTGTGGGAGTGGGGCCTGTCCTTGTGTGGGGCTGGGGTCTGTCCCCATAGGGGTCTGGGGTCTGTGTGGGTCTGGGGTCTGTCCCTCCGTGGGTCTGGGGTCTGTCCCCCTGTGGGGTTTGGGATCTGTCCCTCTGTGGGGCAGCTGTGGGAGTGGGGCCTGTCCTTGTGTGGGGCTGGGGTCTGTCCCCATAGGGGTCTGGGGTCTGTGTGGGTCTGGGGTCTGTCCCTCCGTGGGTCTGGGGTCTGTCCCCCTGTGGGGTTTGGGATCTGTCCCTCTGTGGGGCAGCTGTGGGAGTGGGGCCTGTCCTTGTGTGGGGCTGGGGTCTGTGCCCATGTCGTCTGTCTCTCTGTGGGGTCTGGGGTCTGTCCCCACATGGATCCAGGGTCTGTCCTTCTGTGGGGCTGAGATTCTGTCCCCATGTGGGGCTGGGGTCTGTCCCCATAGGGGTTCTGTCCCTGTGTGGGTCTGGGGTCTGTCCCCCTGTGGGGTCTGGGGTCTGTCCCCACATGGATCTGGGGTCTGTGTGGGTCTGGGGTCTGTCCCCCTGTGGGGTTTGGGATCTGTCCCTCTGTGGGGCAGCTGTGGGAGTGGGGCCTGTCCTTGTGTGGGGCTGGGGTCTGTGCCCATGTCGTCTGTCTCTCTGTGGGGTCTGGGGTCTGTCCCCACATGGATCCAGGGTCTGTCCTTCTGTGGGGCTGAGATTCTGTCCCCATGTGGGGCTGGGGTCTGTCCCCATAGGGGTCTGGGGTCTGTGTGGGTCTGGGGTCTGTCCCCCTGTGGGGCTGGGGGACTCACAGGGATCCCCACCTCCATCACACTCTGTGGGGCTGCCCCACATCCCCCCTCGCCCCCTTCCCTCTGGGGGTGCCCCCCTGGGTCCTGTGGGGCGACCCCCATTGCGGGAGGGCTGGGGCTGGATCAGAGCTGTGGGGCCGGGCTGTGGGGCAGGGTTATGGGGCTGTGGGACAGGGTTATGGGGTGGGCTCAGGGCTGTGGGACAGAGCTATGGGGTGGGCTGAGGCCTCTCACTCAGGACCACGGGGCCAAGATATGGGGCAGCCCAAGGACCATGGGGCCAGGCTGTAGGGCTGGCTTTTGGGGCAGGGCTATGGGATGGGCTGAGGGCTGTGGGGCAAACTGGAGTCTGTCAGTCCGTACTGGGGGCTGTGGGGCTGTACTGGGCTGTGGGGCCGGTTTAGGACCATACCGGGTCTGTGGGGCTGCTTTAGGGCCGTACCGAGCTCTGTGGGGCCATACCGGCTCTGTGGTGCCTGTTTGGGGCCGTACCTGGCTCTCTGGTGCCGGTTTGGGGCCGTACCGAGCTCTGTGGGGCCATACCGGGTCTGTGGTGCCGGTTTGGGGCCGTACCTGGCTCTCTGGTGCCGGTTTGGGGCCGTACCGAGCACCCTGGGTCCCCCGCTCCCACAATGGCGGCCCCGCTCCCCTCAGCGCGCTGGGCGTGGCCTCCCGCGCTCCCGCCCTTTCCGCTCTCAGCCAATCAGCGCCGAGCCGCCTTCGCGCCCCTCGCCGCCGCCACGCGCCCGCTCCCCCCGCCCTTCCCGCTCCACTTTCGCGCACGCGCGGCGGCCCCGCCCGC